TGGATGGATCATGTCTGCATATGTAATTCTATTTTTAAAAAGAGGGCAAGACTAAAAGAAAGATTGCTGGACTTATGTTTTTATGGAATTCTATATTTTGAACAAGCTGTGTCTTATAATATTTTGTTTTGAGAATTTGTGGTTTTTTTTGCATCCTTATCTCATAAATATCTGAGAAGTCTATTAGCTAAGTCAGCAACTTCCTAATATTGACATTCTAAATTTCTAATGAAATTTATCCATTAGATTATCAATGCACCACCTAGCAGTATACTATAATTTCATATCTGGCTATTTTGCCACTTTTATTCTGCTTGCTGAACATCAACCAGCAGCACTTTTTAAGGCAGGTCATTGCATTGTAAGGAAGGATGTCTGTGGGAATGACTAGGAAAACAGGAAGAAGTTCTGCAGATTATACAACTGTCATGCAAAAGGTATCTCAGTCCACAGAAACAGAGGGGGGCAAGGGAAGAGTTTCAGAAGGGATCTTTCCTAGTTTTCTGGAGAGTAAAAGGAAAGAAGAGGAAAATACTTATTTTGCAAGATTCATGTTAGCTCTTCAAAGTAGTCCAGACAAGAAACACAACTACAGGTATTAACTCTATTTTTATGTAAAATTATGTTAACAAAATCAAGTCTGAAAGTATTTCTCCTCTCTTCTCCTTTTACTCCCTGGAAAACAACATCCCTACATACCATTACTGTCTGTTATAACCATGTGAAAGGCCGCTATGAAAAATTCTTCAGCAGTTGGAGAAACAAACTGCTCGGGTTCAAGTGGATCTGGATTCCAGCTAAACCATATCAATGGAGCTGATTGGGGCCTTGTCTTGGGAAGTGATTTGGGCTCCAAGAAAGTGGATAAGATCCTTTGCAGTGTTAGTTTGGCTATTTCCCAGTTGACTCCCTGCTCCTCAAGACTAGTTAAAGTTTCCCATGAAGAACAGGAGTTTGAATCCCAGAAGGAATTGTATATATTATATTTGAAAAAAAAATGTAGCATGCTCCCTGCTTAAGGTGATTTCACTCAATCTAATTATTTTGGATAACTTTACACACTTTTCCTTTGTTAGAAAAGCTGTTGTTCAATGTTGCCTTTACCCGCCTTATTTTTAGTATATTATAAGATGTTCTGGGAATTTTCCTGTTCGAGAAGCAGGAAATAGAAGTTTAAGCAAATTGTCTTGAAACTATAGTTTTTTAATTTAAGCATTACAACAATACGTTTGTTTCAGAACAATCCTGTAACTCCTATGTGTTAATTTGCAACAATGAGCCTAATCATATCAAAAATTGGAAATATATAGTTAGGTAGCACCTTTAAAAAGCAAACAAAAAAGAAAAAATGGAACAAAAGAGATTACATCATGTCCCAAACAAGTTTTTGCCCTTTTCCATTAACATTTTTTTATAAATCTCTATTTCTTTAAACATTTTTGAATGAGAGGTGCTCCTATTTTCCTTTCATGGGATGCTTATTATTTTTATATATGACTAACTTTAAAGGCTGCAGAAAATTATGTGATTCCTGCAGGTATTCATTCTAACAAGCACTGGATAGGGACAAGATCTTAAACTATTGCCACTAGCTTTACAAGACAACTAAGAATAACTCGAGTGATGTTGACCTGCTGACCAATGTTGAACTGATGGTAATGTTAAACAATTCTGTAGTGGTTCAAATTAGCTAACCCATATTTAGCTAATCAATACTACTGTATCAGTTTTTATAGATTCAGTCGTGATTCTGATTTTTGGCAATTTGCTCAGATAGGTCCAGATGTTTGCAAATACACACATTTAGATGCAAAACTAATTAGGAACCTTTAAATTGGAGGTTTTTGGAGGGAAAAAATGTTATGTAGATTATCTGGAGAGGCTTACAATGAACACACACACACATTAACACACATACAAATAAATATAGATAGAGATTAAACTGCAGAATTCACACTTAAATATGTACATGCATACAATTAACACAACAGTCACCTGGATCCTTTCCATTTATAACTTATGTAAAAGGAAAGGTTGGGAAAAAAAACCCTCAAAAGTTGAGATTATTTCTTTATAAGCATTCTAAAGCATTAAGTTCTTATTTCATTGTTTATCGTGACAAGAAAAATATGTATTAGTAAATGCATCCTTTTGAAAAAAGAAAGTTTGTACAGCAAACAAGATATGTTATCCTCTTAATCAATATGACTGAAATTTGATGGAATCACCAAAGAAGAAATGACACATGCTGCTTGTGGCTTTATTTTCTAGCCAATTAGCATTACATATGAAATATTCAACTAATTTTATAAGACTATTATTGTTAAGATACTTCTTGTTGTTGTTGTTGCTTCTTGGGTTCTTTTAACTAAAACAATGATTGCAAGAACTATACTGTACCATCACCATATATCATAAAACATGCACCATATATTATACACCATGCGATGCCATAACATACCAATGTTTCTAGTTCAAAGCCTCTTTATTTACTCAAGATGCCCATAAAAATGATCCTATTCTGTACCAGCCCTGTATTGCTACTGATTTCTGTTTTACTGAAACTGATATTATGATTTACAAAAGTGATAATTTTTCTACTTCCTGCTAACATTGTAGTGTGGCTGGCATAGTACAGATTGTATCTGTATGGTTGCTCTATCATAATTCTGCCTTCCTTATCCAAGAATAATATAGCCCCTTAACAGTAATACCATTAATTTTTGTGGCCACATCAATATGGAATTCTTACTTATTGCCATAATGCATTTTTCTCTTTATTCCACAGGAAACAAGAAAGCATTTTCCTCTACCCAGGAGTTGCTTGGATTCAAACATACTTAATTTCAGACAAAGGCAGGATTTGTGAGCTTCATAACACAAGATTTGAATTCTGACTTATGAATTTCTACTTAATTAAATATATGTGGTTCAACTGCAGAGAAAAAGTGATATTGCTGGTGATCATTCAGTTGGAACTTCAAAGGGTTCTTAGTCACACTTTTTACAAGGAAGACTATTTCTTATATTTTCAGAATGTTTTAAAAGATATAAAGTAAAGACATATTTATTTCACCTGTAAACAGTGAGTTATATGCCAAGATTACTTTGCTGACTTTCAGCCCAGCTTTGGTGACTTCTTTTAGAAACTTTCTATTTTTACACCAATTATTCCAAACAAGCGTGTTAAAAACTCAAGATAATTGAACAGCAAGAACCCCTGCTGTAAGCACGCATTGGATGCTTGCTGAAGGTGAAAAGGTAACTTTCTCATTTTCCAAAAGATCTACATACATCCTCCTTCATTTAAACACAACATGATATCTTAATTAATTATGATAAACTGGTTACTAAGGTGCCTCCATGTTGTTATTCCCATGATATAATACTGGTTGCTATAGTGATGAGATGGCTTTTTTTGGACTAATCAGTGAGGAGATTGGTTAACCCATGTTTGTCAGTGATCCTGAAGAATGAGAAAAATAAGTTAAAACAAATGGTCATATATACTATGTGTATTCCTTTTCCCTGATTTTTAAAATAATATTCATGACTGCAATTTTACTTATACTAAAATAAATTGTAAGAAATTGAATATAAACTGGAAGATTCTATAATATTCCTTAAACAAAATTGTAAAAACACATTATACTATTGCTATAACTAACAAGTATATAAAATGCTTTATATTCAGAAGATTCTAGAGTAAAAGTCTGGAAAAAGCCCAGTATAAGTCTTTGATTTTTAGGAACTTGGTACTTTTCAGGTATGTCAGATGATATATTCAGCCATAATGCCTAGTTGAGAAAACTACCCAATAACAAGTTATTGATTATTGACTGATTAGGATTCGGATTGATTTGATAAATCAGCTTCATAGAACCAAATATTTAAATTTAGATTTAGATATTTAGCGCATCATAAACTATAAACTATTTATAGTTTGTTTTTCAAAATAATTACAAATGTGAATAAAGAAGTATAAACTATCATTTAGATAATATTAGATATAAACCAGTAGGTAATCTTGAATGAAAGTTGGATATTGATGCAATAGTATTGTAAGAGTGATTTCCTTCCTGCCCTGTCAATTTAACTATGAATAATTTGTCAGTGCTTCCTTTGAACTCTATCTGAGGTTGATTTCCATATGCCAATGCTGGGCTAAATAAAGGTTTGTATTATGCATCTGTATCCTCACAACAGTGTGGGGATTCCATAGATCTTTGCAAGGTGAGCTGATTTGCTTCATAAATTAATAATCTCAGCCTCTATGGCATTTTCTCCAGATTGCTGAATGAATGATTGCCCATTGACTGGTGCCCCCAACTTGTCTTGCCTCTAATGTCCCCCTTCTTTTCTTGGGAAGTCAGGTTTCTAAGTCACTTTGGTGATTTTATAAGGAGTCACTTCTGGCTAAAAGAGAAACTTTGCAATAATCCCAGAAACCATCTATTTGTTCCTGTAATAAACCTTTGGGTCTTTCTTTACTTTTATAGTGTTATCATCCACAAGCTAAGGGCCATGAATTAATTTGGCAATGTAGATTATCAGTTGTCTGTTAATAAAATAATCCTATAATATATATTAAAATTCTGTAAGGATTAGTAATACATTATTCTAAATTGACAATAACAGGAACTTCTTGCTGTATGAAGCAACTGATTTCAAATGTCAACACTGGGAAAGAGAATGTCTACCAGAACAGGCTGATCTGAGCCACTTTTGTGAAACATAAAACTACAGTTAAAATAAAGGACAAAGGACAACTTCAGCACAAAGCAAAGATCATTCATTCAAGCATGGTCCCAGGAGGCATATTAAAGCAATGAATAGGAAAAAGCTCAGTAGTTCACCAGCTGAGATTTTAATGAGATATTTCCCCTTGCTGTGGTTCAGGCTTTTGCTCAGCAAAGAGAAAAGGCTGCTCAAAAAATGCATGCAATGAATGGGCACCAATTGCTTTTACAGTCACTACAGTAGCTGATCACTGTACTAACCTTCTATTTTGGCATAATCTGTAAGTCGAGTGTAATTGATCAAGGCTGCTTTCTCTAGACATTTTCTGACCACTTTCTTCACTTCTTCTGCTGGTATGGGAGTAGCAATATCTTTCATTAAGACCTAAGCCAAAGACAATCAAATACTTTTGGTCAGATATCTTCCCAGAAAATAAAAAATGCACTATTTAAAGAAAAGCTTTTGTAACTATTAGAAATTCAAAAGAAATTATTAATGTATAAAAGCTATGTTAAAACCAGGACTTTTTTTCTCATAGAACGCCCAGAACGGAGTTCCGGCACTTTTTTGGATGGAACCTTGTAGGGTAGGTAGGGCGGGTTGTATGACGTATGTGAGTTCCGGCACCTTTTTTTAAAAGAAAAAAACCATTGTTGAGACCATAATATTAAGGTCTGCCTATTGACATATTGTACAAAAGACTAAAATTATAAACAAAAGAAATTATAAACAATGTAAGTAGTATATATGGTCAGTTACAAATACATTAGGTTTCAAAATTGCAAAACAAGATTACTTTTTAAATTTTATATTGCTGAATTAAGGAAAAATGGTATAATTTATATTATACTACTGCATAAGAGTAAATTCTTGTGTTATAGCCCAATTCTCATGTGTCATTTCAGTATAGGATATGTATCTAGAAGCAGCACAAGAAAAATATGCTGGCAGGGAACATTTGAGTCAGGACTTCTCATTCTCGCCAGGGGTTTTCAGGGATCAATCCCACCAAGAATGAAGTTGAACAGAAGTAATCAAATGCTTCACCAAATGTAGCAAATTTCCTCAGCAGCTACAGTCTAATGCATATTAACCTCATATTAACACTGTGAGATTGGTAATTAAGAGCTCAATTTTATAGATAGGGATTGACAAGATGAGTTTACTAAGGGATCCAGCTGAGTACAAGACTTACTGGGACCAAAACTTTCTAAGACCAAATTTAACTCTGCAGATACTTGCCAGCATTAAAGTTTCTAAAGATTTTTTATTCTCTACAGGTTATTTTGGAAAGTATCTTGACCAGTGTCATAAATGACTGAATTGGATATATAGTTCATACTTTTAAAACCCAACATCATTGCTCAGGCTTTTTTTTTTTTTAAAAAAATCATGCTTGTGTTATGACATTGTAAATAATATGTATGCATGTATATATGTATTTGAAATGTTACAAAGTGCTATGAAGGGGATGATGTCTCAGCTCATCAAAGCAGAAAGACAGGTGATTTGGGACTTTTTAGTTTGTAGAGAATAATGGCTAGCATTATGTATATTAAACATTGGGATAAAAATCTAATCATAATTAAATATGAACAGCACAGATCTGAGTAGAAATAGGCTGTTCTTGTGCCCTTCAGAGGACGACCAATGTCTCTGGAGAATATTGCCCCCAAAATGGTTGGTTTTAGTTCATGGACTTACCCTCTCAAGCAAGGAAAGTGTGGCTTTCAAAGCTCCTTCAGGACGCCCAAAAGGAAAGCAGTATCTTCAAAGAGACAAATTAAAAAAAAAAAACAAAACCCAACATATTAGAAGCCCACTTTCTATGGATTTTGCTAGATAATTTAATGCCTAATCCACTGTCTTCCTTACAGGGAGAAAATTTTAGAAGCTACATTTCTGATTGAATACACTAGTCACATATTTTTAAATTTGTATTTACTTTTATTTTGCTATTATTTGATCTGGATTTAGCTATTTATGTATCTGATTTAACTGAGCTTTCTCTGCAGACGTACAACTGGATAACAATTATTTATAACAGCTACTACTTCAACTACAGATTGGAAAATATAGTAGAAACTTACTATTTTAAAAAGTGCATTACAGTACTACCTTAAAATATTCAGTTGTATCAAGCTAATGGTTATCAATAGATTATTAGAAATGTGGAAATGATTTTTATTTTTTCTTTCTTCAACATTTAGTTCTCTCTTTGATTTCTTTGATTTCCTTTCCCCTCCTTACTCTATATTAGTTTGTATTAGTTTTTATCTTTTTTAAAAAAATCCCCATCCAATCTCTTAAAGCCTCCAGGCATTTGGCCAGCTGTGTGTGTGTGTGTGTGTGTGTGTGTGTGTGTATCCTTGCTCTCTCTTTCCCATAAGATCCTTAACAAATGCTACACAAAAAATTGTGGATTTTTTCTGAATAGAAACTTCCAAAAATTAGATAAAAGTCATGCCATGATTTCAGTGGGCTACCGTACATCACAAAGTTGAATAACTTTAGATATACCTTGTAACTGATAACTAGAAGTCTCCTCTAAGACAGGGGTCCCCAACCCCCAGTACATGGACCAGTACCAGGCCACAGCATGCCAGCAACTGGGCTGCACAAACAAGCCAAGCCCCATCTGTGGGATGTAGGCAGCATACAAAACCACACCTGCTCCGGTCCACGGAAAAACCCCCTCTCCATGGAACTGGTCCCTGGTGCCCAAAAGGTTGGGGGCCTCTCCTCTAAGGGAATAATCCTGTTATCATTTTAGGAACTCCTCTTCTCATTTCTGAATCAGTTATTTCTACAAAGATGCTCTATTATTTATAATTTATTTAACAAGTTTGTGTTTATTACTGTTACTTTGTTATCTTTCAGCATCATTTTACAACTGCAAATAGGCTCAGGATAACTAATTTAGAAATCATCTTTGCAAATTTATTAGAAAACTTGGAAATGAAATTTAGACAAAATTGTGTGGGCAGCTCTAGTAGCAGAATACTATTCTTCTTTCTTATTTTTACTGTATTTGAAATTCTACAGAATCTTCATCAAATAACAGTATATGTATTTTGTGTTCCCCAAACTAATTCAGTGAAATATATTTAAGGCAAATAAGAAATGCAACTTCAATCTCAAATCCAGAAATTATTCAAGAATAACTGCACTTTCCTGTGTTTATTCCTATTTTTATTCAATTGATAAAAGTATAAAGAAATGCTGCTAATCACAGAGTTACATTTCAAATCAAATTATTCCTTAGGGCTTTTTATAAATACATTGTTATGTCAGTAAATGAATGACCAGTTGAAGCACATATAATTCTAAATAATGAAACACTGAAATAACTACTTAATTAATATGCACAATTTTTTTACAGTGCTCCTAAGACAATGTTTCTCAACCTTCCTAATACCGTGACCCTTTAATACAGTTCCTCATGTTTCGGTGACCCCCAACCATAAAATTATTTTCGTTGCTACTTCATAATTGTAATTTTGCTATTGTTATGAATCGTAATGTAAATATCTGGTATGTAGGGAACATGGTATTTGTTTCTGAAGTTGAACCATTGTTTTTCCTACACAAATTCTCTCTTCAGGTATCATCATATATTTAAATACATATATTTAATAAATACATGGACACACTTTTCCAGAATTACTTGAGGACAGTGTTCACTTTATGTTTCTGGACCAACCACCTCAATGGTGACTCTGGCCTGCCTACCTCACAAGGTTGCTGTGGGAACCAAATAAATACATCATTTTAATCTACCAGAGGAAAAATGTGGGATAAAAATGTGATAAATTATACACGATGCCCTTTTTTTTCTGCTGTATGCTCTCTCCTCATGCAAGTTATATTACTAATTTATCGCAGTGGTTCCAATGATAGCCCCGAGACATCTGTACACACGCTTTTCTTAGTAGCTCCCAAGATTGCTATCTTGGCCAAAAGTACTACTTCATCCATGAAGAACAATAACAACGCAGGGAAGGAACCGAGAAGATAAACAACAGCACAAAGGAGGAAGTGCCTGGCATTTCACTTTTGAAGAAAATCAACAGTGCATTCAAGAGCACCTGGCAAGAGTCACCAAAATCCCAATCCGGATTAAGAATCCGGCTTCTTTCTGCACGCAAAGGCTTCACGAATCATTTGGCTTACCAAACGCATCATCCCAAGTATATTATAAAATCTTCACCGGGAAAGTTTAATGGGCAATTCTCGGAAGATCCCAAATCCCAGGGAGGCGGGGGGGGGGAGACAGGAGAAGAGATGGGCTGGGAAGGAGCTGCAGGTCACTGCGCAGCATCTACCTTTTTTATATATAACACACACACCCCAAGCTTCTAAAACTAAAGTAAGACTTGAGTCACAAGAACCACGTTTCTTTAGCTCAGCTCCCCGCGCTGACATTTCATCCCGGATGCACATGCCAAGAAAAAGGTGATTTGCTTGGCGAGCAATCAACAATAAAAAATAGAGAGAAGAGGAGGAGAAAGGCTTGGTGCTTCGCTTCTGGAAAGACCTGTCACGAGGCCACGTTATAAAAGCAGGAGCAAACAAATCGAAAAAGTGCACAAAGCTAAGGCCGGGGAAGGGGTGGGGGGAAGGGCCACCGAAGCCAAGCCATTGAAGGGCTTTCGCTCTCAGTCAGCAGCAGCAGCAACAGCAGCACCTTTTTGGAAAGGCGGCCAGGAATAAATAAACTGTTCCTTTTGCTTTCTTCCAAACCTGCGCTTTGGACACGCTTCCCAAGCGGGCTTCCCAGGCAGCAAGCGCTTCGATCCCCATGGGATTTCCCTGAGGGAAACGGGGACAGCGGCAGCGGTGGCTGCTGCTGCATGATCAGGGGTCCCCACCTGGTCCTCCGTCCATCAATGGAGCTGTGGGGGGGGGCTGGTACCATGTGGCCCGCCAGCCCCTTTGCCAGCCCGCTGCTCTCCCCAGGAACCCCTCTTCCTCCCGCGCCCACCCGAGTTGCCTTGGGGACAGCAGGAGGAAGGAGAGGAGAAGGGCAAGAAAACCGCTGCCACCATCCCCGCGCTGCCCGGCCTCGCCCTCTGCCCATTTAATGGAGCCACAGTGGGGGCTGGAGCTGTGCAGCCCGCCAGCCCCTCGTCCAGCCTGGCTGCTCCCCCCAGGCATCCCTCTTGCCCCGGTGCCCGCCCGAGCCGCCTTGGGGGCAGGAGGAAGAAGGGGAGGAGGAAGAGGATGGCAAGGAAGCCACCGCCAGTGCTGGGCACCAGGAGGTAGCTCTCCTCTCCTACCTTTGCTGAATCTCCTTCTTCCTTCCTGGCAGCCTGGACTCTGGCACGCCTTCCTGGCCAGCGGGTCCAATGGTCAGGCTGCTAGGGATTGCAGCAGCTGGTCTCCCTTGGGCTGCAGCTTGTGGGAGGGCTGGCCCACTCAGTGGAGCCTCCAGTGGGCCGCTCCCAACAGGGATCCCGGGATTTCCCCACGCGGCTCCAAGGCCACGAGGCCCTGGCTGCGCTTCTCCCAGGAGGTGGGACACCCAGGCGCAGGGCCAGTCAGGAGCCCTGCAGGAGGTAAGTCCGCCTGAGAGAGAGAAGGGAAGCGAAAGTGCCTGTCTCTTTCTCTCTGCAAGTGGCGGAGGTGACCGTGCAGAGATGGATGAGGAGCGGTGTCTCAGTTCCTAAGACCATCAGAAATATGTGTTTTCCGATGGTCTTAGGCGACCCCTGTGAAATGGTCGTTCGACCCCCCAAAAGGGTCGCAACCCACAGGTTGAGAACCATTGTCTTAAGATATAGTTCTATAAATAGCTTTTCTATAAAAATAATTAAACATTCAAACATTTTAGAATGTCAACTTAGATTTGTATCTAATGAACATTCATTATAACAAGGACTTAAAGGCCAAATTATATGTTTAGTACCAGGACATATAATCCTATGATAATAACATACAGTGCTATGTTAATAATAATAATAATGATGATGATGATGATGTTGGAAGGGACCTTGGAGGTCATTTAGTCCAACCCCCTGCTCAGGCAGGAAACCCTATACCATTTCAGACAAATGGCTGTCCTGTCTCTTCTTAAAAACTTCCTGTGTTGGAGCATTCACCACTTCTGAGGGCAGGTTGTTCCACTGGTTAATTGTTCTTTGAATCATGTATTGCATGATGAGAGCTAGTATCATGCTCTGGTAGTTAATTCTATGATAATAAAGAGAAGCTGAATCCTGCTGAGATTCTGGTTTTGGATGTTATCTGGATCTATCTCTATTTAATTTTCATGTAGGAGGAGATATATGGGAATTCTAGAAATATTTCTGGATAATTTTTAAAAGTAAATTGCTTTGGAATTTGTAATAAAATTAAAAGCCACATCTGCATTTCAAATATACAAAGTGTTAGTGTCCAACCCTTTTTGACACCATTAATGATAATTATAATAAACTTTAAAATACATCAAACAAATTATTTGAATTGTAGTCAATGCTGGGTTTGAAATGACCAATTTAGCCTTCAAGGAACACTTATGATACCAGATTGCTTTGTATCATAATTGGCTGCTCAAAGCTTGTACCTCACTCTTTGAAATACCTTAAGAGGCACAAATAAATGAATATTCCCTGTTGTTTCTTGTCATCTGAGAAGACTCCTACATCTCACATCTCCTAAGACTCCTAATTGCTCCCAGACTGGGGCCAGTGTCCATATTTAGAATTTTGAAAAATTTCACAGAACAGTTACCATAGTGGACATGACCAGTCACGAGCATCTTTTTACCAGAACGCAAACTGCTCTCTTCCAAATGAGCTGAAACAAAATTCTTAGCCAGGATGAGGGAAATCTGTTTTAGGGAATTGGTGAAAGTGGTCCCTTTAAGTCTGTTTTGTTGATTGGATAAGTCCATCCAATTTTCTTGGCAGCATTTCTGGAAGTGGTTTGCAATTGCCTTCTTTTTATATGAGAGAGAATAACTAGTCCAAAGTCACTTAACTGGCTTAGTGCCTAAGGCAGCACTGGCATTCATGTTCCCTCAGTTTTTAACTGGATACTTTGAAGTATTGCACAAAACTGTCTCTCATGAGGGCAACTAGTCTGTGCAAAAGTGACATTTGCAATTATTTTTCAATAACAAATACAATATATTAACATACTATTTGCTCTCCCTATCAACAACACAATGGAATATCATATACACTCCACATATTAGAAAAATTAATCCTGCTCTGTTTGATCATGTTCCAAATGAATGTTTGTAATGGTCAAAATCTTGAGGAGACACATTTTATTCTAGCAATTAGGACAAACTATCTAAACAATCTGTTTGGCAGGTTCCAGAGTCAGTTCCTCATTCTTTGTTGACTTCTGCCTCTGAGGATAGACACTTCCTTTTTTGAGTAAGTAAGTTTACCTTGCTAGAGGCCCATTTCAAATAAGCTAAACTACTGCCATCATTTTGTGCTATTTCCCAGCAAAGCCACTAAAATTTTTTGGACTTTTAGTTTTCTCTGGAAATCAAGTGAAAGTTGGGCATTGGGTAAAGGAAAAAGGGGCTCCATTTTAAGAAGAGGAACGAAGAAATGAAAACTTTCCCTCTGTAGAAAATGGATTTTTGATAACAAATTTATCCCAATGCTACATTGCTATTAAAAAAAGGTATTGTTTTTCTTTCTACAAACAGCAATGGGGAACTGGATATTTTTGTCACTGGATTCTTTTTCAGGGATTATGACATGAATCAGTGCCTGCTATTAATAGTTAAGAGGCCAAACATGGGTTGGTAGTGGGAGAGGAAGAAAGAGAAGACTTAATTGACCTTAGGATCTTCGAGTGGTTTGCATCACTGAACTTATTGATAGAATCCAACTAGCCAAGCATAAACAAATCCTCTCCATCTCCATTAAACGGTAAATTATCATGATGGGTAGAAATTAGCATTATAGTAATTAAACAAGAAACTGCACTACTTAATAAGGGTGATTTGTAGAGCTATGCCACTTGTGCTAATTTAACACAAAATCAGCATAGTTCACATATGATTAGCAATGTTAGGTAGGAAAAATATCATATAGGCAGAAATCATCGGCATAGGATGCGATATGCAAAATGATTCAACTGCTTTATAAAAGCAGAATATTCAAAACACTCATACCAGGGCTTAACGCCTAACTCCTTCTGTATTGTCTTCTCACAGTTTTATATATGTCCAGCTTGCAAAATGCAAACACTCACCTAAAGTGGCTTATTTGGTTTTCTAGAAGGGAAGAAAGCCTCTTCTTAATATCTTCAAATCTTTCTTTCTCTTCAACAGTTACAGTCCCAATTCCATCAGGCCTGAAAATTGATATTTAAAAAGATATGCACATTTTATTTATTAAGAGCACACACACATACCGTCTCACATTTTTTCTTAACTCACTCATTTTGAAATTCATAATTTATAGTACACCAGTTATAGTTTCATACAACACTTCCAGTTTCAAAAGAAATGGAACAAAGCATAAGCAGAATTAACATATTAGTCACAAAACTCTTCAACAGGAATAATATGATATAAGTGCTGAACTGAATAAACTGACTATATCTGGCAATTTTGCACAAGATACAGGAAAGGAGTACAGTTAAATAAAGTTGTTCAAATGAGAGAAGCAATAAATCTACTAACAGGAAAAGCAAACAGTTTACAACTTATAGGTAAGTAAGCAGGGAAGAGCAATTTGCCACAGCAAAAACCAGAAATAGAACACCAGATAGAAGAGATTGTACGTATAGCATTTGTTTCTTTACACTTTATATCAGTGGTTCTTAACTTTTTTGAACAAATCGCCCCCTTGAGCCAATGAGGAAGCTGTCATCACCCTCCTCCCCCAACATAACCTCTCAATCATAACATAGGATATAATTCTTCAATTTATGCAAACACTTTTTTTTGTTTTCTTTAAAATTGTCATCAGGACATATCAATGCAAATAGTTTATTTCCAGTCTTTTTCCCATAACTCAACTGTGTGAAAAATTTTGGTGCCACCCGTCACTTTATTCCCAAACTTAGTGACACATGTATTTCATTATTATCTTATTTATTCAAGACACTTAAATGTAATGACCACTGAAAACAAAATTCAGTTGCAAGAAAGTGAAATACCCGAAAAGAAAAACAGTAACATTTAATGACTGAATTACAAGTGAAATTTAACACGCAAAACGAAATATAAAAAGGGCATAAGAACAAACCGCAATGCAGGAACTAAGAATTTCAAGACGAAAACTCTGAAACTAAATTAAGATTTGAGGAAAGTATATATAGTCACACGCACTGTAAAAAGGATTAAAAAGACACAAAGAAAATATAATATCAAACTGGAGTGCATGCTAAAAAAGTACAATACAAAGAGACACACAAAATGTTTTACAGAGCACAACAAAAATTTGAAAACAAAGCTGAAAACTCAAACTGGGACGTCAACATTACAGCTGATGTCACAGGGAACAGCCACTCAGAATGTGATGTTTCAAAAGAAGCCCTCCCCCCTCCATCACTGCCCATTCTGGCCAATGGCGTACCACTGTATGGGTAGAGTCTGCTGCACAACGTGCATGAAGATAAGCGATGCATATTCACATATGTATGGTGGTCTGTACTGAAGCTAGCTGGAGGAACATTTGAAAACAGAATTCAATCCACTAATAGCGAGCGATCTGATGGTTTTGTGTGACAGATATACAGCGATTCACTGTACGAAAAAGTCTCAAAAGTGTCCCCAAAACCTCTCACTCCATCGCCCCCGTATCACCCCCTTTACGTTCCTTCACCCCCGCATCGCCCCTTTTCATTCCATCACCCCCCCTGAAAAATGAAATCGCCCCCTGGGAGGCAATATCGCCCAGATTAAGAACCACTGCTTTATATCATACCTAAAGGAAAACATTGTTTAACATAAAGCAGCATAGGTACTTTGGACTTTATCAGAGAAAGGTAATAGTGAATGTGACCTTATTTATTTTCTTCCACCTCCTGCAGGCCCCCAGGATGTGTACCACCATTCTACAATAGTTTTCAGTTCATTTAGTGAAGTTACAGTGGCACTGAAAAAGTTATTTATGACTGTTTTTCACACTTGTGATGTTTGCAGCTTCCCCATAGCCATGTCCCCTAGTCCAAGCCCCTGCTCAGGTAGAAAACCCTACACCATTTCAGACTGGTGGCTGTCCAGTCTCTTCTTAAAATTTACAGTGTTGGAGCATTCACAACTTCTGGAGGCAGGTTGTTCCACTGATTAATTATTTTAACTGTCAGGAAGTTTCTCCTTAGTTCTAGGTTGCTTCTCTCTTTGGTTAGTTTTCACCCGTTGCTTCTTGTCCTGCCTTCAGGTGCTTTGGAGAATACCTTGACTCCCTCTTCTTTGTAGCAACCCCTGAGATTTTGGAACATTGCTATTGTTGTGTCCCGGACCTGCTGAGGAAACTCAGCAGGCCCAGAAATGTTGCAAATTGTCCCGGGCAACCTAAAAGCTGCCCAGGACCAGACTGGTTGGTGCTGGTCTTGCGTGCAGGCGCAAAGCATGAATAAAGGGGATTTATGATGGGATGTTGGGAAAACTATAAAAGGCCTGCGAGCCTGTTGGGTTTTTGAGTGGTAATGTGGAACAAATAAAGAAGAACTTGGTGAACAACTTGTGTGTTGCTTCAATACCGCGAACCCCAATACATAAAAGTGGCAATGAAGATGGGATTGCTGCAAAGAAGAAGACAACTCGAAGAACCTAGCCTCTACAAAAAGAGCTGGAAGACGGGAAGTCGGTGCCCAGATCTGCACTCATCTGCCAGTTCACAAATGCTGGAGGTGGGCTTGGCAAACGGGCCTCTTCCCAGCCTGAGTTGCAGCAAGGCTAAGAAAAGCTAGCAATGTCGAAGATCGGCCGGCTGTCTGAATTCAACGTGTCTCACCTGGAGCGTTGGAATTCTGACATGGCCCAGGTGGAAAACTACCTGCGAGTTAACCAGGTTCGAGAAGATGGTTTGAAGGCAGCAACCCTGCTGTGCATCTCCGGGCAGGACACTTTTGATGTGGCTGAAAATTTAGTAGCTCCTGCACCGCTTGAGTCTGTAACGTACACAGACTTGAAGAATATGCCGAAGGATCATTTTCATCCGAAGCTATCTGTAATTGCATGGAGGCACGCTTTTGAGCAGAGGGACCAGAAGCCTGGTGAGTCTGCTGCGGAATTCATTGCTGCCTTGAGACAAGCAGTCATGCCTTGTGAGTTCAAGGACCTGGAAGAAAGCTTATGAGACCGTTTTGTCTGTGGCTTTAGAAGTAGAGAGCTGTAACAAAAAATATTTGCTAAAGTTGAAGTCACATTCCAAGATGTCTTATGCGAAGTTGCAGCGGAAGAGGCAGCACGAGGCGCTGTGAAGGCCTTGCGACTCACCAAAAGCATTACAGCAGTTGCGTCCATCCATCAAAAGGTCGCTCAAGAAGTGCAGGACCTGGATCCAGAAGAAGAGGTGGACAGACTTCACCAGCCTGCAGTACAAAGGTCGTGAGAGAAGCAAGTCAAGACCTCTGCAGCCCTTCAGTGCCTCAGATGCGGAGGACGCCACAAGCGCTCAGACTGCTGGTTCTGCTCTGCCATTTGTCGGGCATGTGGTAGGCAAGGGCCACATTGCCATTGTCTGTTTGGGTCGCCAGCAGGTGCAACCTCAAGAAGAATTGCTTCAGAAAGCTACCAGGGTCCCCAGCCAACACAGGGTGGGTTTCTGCACATCGCGCAGAAGTATTCTGAGGACAGGGACACACAAACCCCTTTAGAAAAAATTTCACATTGACATGAAGTTGCAAGGGGTTCCCTTATCGATGGAGTTGAACACAGGGTCCGCTCTATCAATCATTTCACTTGACACCTTCAAAAGGATTTCAGTAGTAGTGGCCTTTGAGTCAGACTCAGGCCATCAAATTTAATCTTCACTGACTTCCAGAATTCCAAAGTCAGTGTGAAAGGAGAGGCTACGCTCAAGGTGCAGCGTCAGGCTTTTGAGGGATTCCTAGATGTGGTGATAGTTGGGGGTGAATGCACTAGTCTTATTGGACTTGATTGGAATCCAAGTAACTGGGCTTCACAGCTTGCAAACGTTGGGCCTTGCAGAAGTTTGCAAGGAGTTTGCTGATGTGTTCAGCTCAAAGCTTGGCTCCTACAAGGGACCTTCAATTGCATTAAGTTTAGACCCAACTATCATGCCCATCAGGATCAAGCCTAGAAGGGTGCCTTTTGCCCTCAAAAGCAAGATAGATGCAGAGCTGGACAAACTGCTCCAGCAGGGCATCTTAGAACCTGTGGAGTCTAGTCAATGGGAAAGCCCCATAGTAATGCCTTTAAAGGCTAATGGAGAAGTCCGCATATGTGCAGAGTATAAGTGTACACTGAATAAAGCGTTGCAACAGCATGCATATCCAGTGCCTGTGGTGAGCCACATTCTGGCCTCCCTCAAAGGGGGGCGCCTTTTTGCAAAACTTGATTTGGCACAGGCCTACCAACAGCTACCTATTGATGAGGCAACTGCAGAGGCCCAAACAATTGTAACACATACAGGGGCCTTTAAGGTTAAAAAACTGCAGTTTGGGGTTAATGTAACCCTTGGCATATTTCAAAGTGTCATGGAATGCACACTTCGTGGGATTCCTAGGGTCTCTCCCTACTTCGATGACATCCTCATTGCTGGGGAGTCATCTCAAAATCTAGCAGAAAGATTAAGGGCCGTCTTGCTTCATTTCCGCCAAGCAGGCCCCAAGTCCCAAGTCCAAAAGTGAGCTGCAAGCTTTTTTGCAGCTCTTAAATTTCTATCACACATTTCTCCCACATAAGGATGCAATGGCAGAGCCGTTACACAGGCTCTTAGACAAGCAGGCTCCATGGCAGTGGACTAAAGTCCATGAAAGGAGTTTCAATGAGGTTAAAGCCTTGCTCTCTTCAAATACTGTTTTAGCACATTTCAATGAGCAACTACCTGTGTGCATCGCATGCGATGCATCTCCTTATGGGGTGGGAGCAGTACTTAGCCACCTGAAGGCTGATGGGACACAAGTCCCTGTAGCCTACTATTCAAGGACTCTGTCATCTGCAGAGCGGAATTACGCTCAGATTGACAGAGAAGCCTTGGCCATAGTGGCTGGCATAAAAAAATTCCATGATTTCTTATATGGCTGCCATTTCACGATCTACCCAGACCATAAGCCTCTGCTGGGGTTGTTTACTACTAACAAACAGACACCACACATTATTTTCCCACGTATGCTGAGATGGTCGATTTTCCTATCAGCATATGATTATACACTCA